AGCTGGGGTGGGGGGGGGGCTGCAGATGGGCATTTGTCAAGCTCTATCACAACAAGATGAGGATCTATAATGTAATATTTGTTATAATCAATGCCTACACCACAAGAGATGTATAAACAAATATTATATGGAATGGAAAAATCATTGAAATCCTTGTATCAAGGTTGACATGATTTTCTTACACTCTAAACTGTTTATGACAAATGAACAATATTTAACGGGCGTATCATGCTGTGGAGGGGCACTTTATTGTACTATAATAGGAATACAGTTAATTTTAAATTTATTACCAAAACGAAACAAAGCAAACAACTCATATCTTTTTCAGTAGTTTCTGTTTCAAACAAAAGAACTAAAATTAAATCAGAGTTGAATATTTCTTGCTGTTACGAGAGTGTGTTAGTAATTTGTCGTTTTGATTTATTTAGTTTGAAATTTTAAAGTTAGGATTTTCTGTTTTTGTTATTATGTATAACAATGCGATAAAAAAAAAATTATTTTTTGATATTAATTATAAAGCCATATTTCAAGTGATACCCTAAATTGACTGTTGTTATCTTATTAGGACTTGGTGTTTAAATTGTGTCATCTTCATACTACAGATTTCTGGAAGTGGAAAAGGGGTTTATTATCATTAATAAGGCGTACTTTATAGAGATTAAAAGATAAAGATTAACTTTACACAATGTACAACACATAAGAAAGAAACATTCGAACTTCAAAAGAACAAGTTGTTCATTGTAAAGACTTCTAATATAACTTAATAAAACAAGTTTGGCTTTCCAGAAAGCCTGAAATGTCATCTCTTTGGCTTCATGAATGTCACAGAATAAACAGTAGAATGTTACATTATTTTCTCAGCCATTACAGGAAGTAGTATCGCTTTAAAAAAAAATATGGGGGGGGGGGGGATTGACGACTTATCTGAACAATCTTTGACAAGGGGAAAAAGGAGCTCGAACTCAACATTTTCATTTTTTGGAAGTGGGATTACAACTTTTCCAACAACCATATTTTTTATTATAATACATTCCCATGGGATACCATACTGGAACAAAAGATGGAAGATGGGGCAAGGGCGCGCCTTTAATGAATATTTTTAATCTTTGGGAAAAAGTGGAAGGGGCGACCCTCCTGATGCTACGTGTCTGTATTATTTTACCTGTTGTAAATATGCTTTATTCATTTTAAATATTTTTTGTACAATGTCTGTAAAAAAATCTAACCACTGAGAAATATTCACAAAAATTAGATAACAATTATTCCATATGAAGATGGATAAAACCTTAGTATTCCTTTGGACTTTAGTTTTTAGTGGCCTACTACGGTAGCAAAAAAGTTTAAAAGAGCTAACTTGGAATAATCCGAACCTCAATTAATTTCCAAATATTTTCCTTATTTTAATTGTATCCTCTGACGTGACTTGGCCATCGAGCCACTGAGAAAATTTGAAACACTCCTGCATCATACCATGGGATCCTGTTGCCCATGCAGATTCATGTTTTAACGCTATATTATGTATAATATTAGTACATGTACATGTATACGCTCCTAGGAAAATAGCATGCATAGAAAGGTTATAAAATTGAAAAGTTACCATTAACTAAGTTTTTTCACACTGAAAAGAGCCCCAATCTACCAACATCGATTTTATAGGCTGTTCCATGAGACACACATTTTATAATTTTGGCTTTATTTCAAGAATACAAGGAGTGATTTTTTATTACTTTATCCAATTAACAAAAAACGCAAATTAGAATTGTATAAAGAAAATGATAAGTTACTTCATTTATTAATCCTTACGAAATCTGAGCTAGGTAAAGAAAATTGTGTTTTTCCTAAAACTTTTCTGCATGAATACATTTAAATTAAAAAAAAAGAATAGTGCAGACATCCGAGAAAATACTCGTAATGATTCTTTATGATATTTATTCCAATGCCTGCAGCACTGAGTTACTTAAATCAGAGACATTTATGTTTTTGCTTAAATTGTGCTTTTAGGTAAAATTTCTTTTTCTTCGAAATTTATTTTTTTTAATAAGTTCTGTTTTATTTTAAATATATACGGCAGTAATTATCGTTTGACTATTACGTACACATAAAAGTTAAGTTATTGCCATTGTATATATGCATTTAACGTGAATGTTTTCACTGTTTTCTTTCGTCCGTAAATCTTGGATCCACGCCTTGGCTGATACATCCTGGATGTTTTGATCCCCGCGCGCTGATCATCGTAGATACAATGTTTATGTGTATTTTGAAGACCACCACCCAAGTGATCCTAATTCTATTACCCTTAATGAACCCTGAGTAGTTTTACTTTAAGATGGGCCATTTTGTAATAGTAAAACAGCACGCTCAATTTTGTTTACATCTTTATATTTAGAAAACATGTCATCATCAGGTCATTTGCAAGACCACCAGCTTATAGGGAGATGACAAAAAGTACTTGATCGGACATAACAAAATTAAACATAAAATCGAAAAAAAAAAATAAATATGCTTTTTCTTCTTAATGCAGTTATATTTTAATCACACTAATCTTATAAGTTTTATAGAATATGAAGAAAAGCTGCTACTACGCAGTGTCTCTATGCATGAAATAAAAAATATTATTTTTGATGTTTTAATAAGAAGAAAAATACCATACGAGTTAAACATGTCCATATAATATACTTTTGCCTATGAGTTCGAGATTAAATCTTCTCCTTTGTAATAAGTGAAACCCATTTTGCATTTTGTTATAATACTTTACATTAAATCTAAATCATTTTTGACAGGCTTTAAACCATTTTAATAAGTAAATTTAAGAGCCGTTAATATATATGCATCAGTAAATTGTATTAAACCTAAACGTGCTACAAAAATTCTTTTATATTTTATGTAGAATATTCAATGTAAGACATAGTAGGAATTTAGCCCGGTCTTTAATTATTATCAGGTTGACTATGATGGGAGTGAAATGGTCAAGCTAAGAGGAAAAAATTGCATGAACGGTTGTAAGCCAATGAAACCAAAATGTTTGCAAAGAGTTTATTTACTGAAAGTTGTGAGTCGTACAGCTGATCGTATAGCGTCTCCTGAAGTACGCCGTAGATCGTATTTTATAATGTACAATGCATAATATTCATTTACATATGAAACAAACAAATCAGATTCAAGTAAACAAGTTATACAATAAATTTGGACAAAATCCTGGAATTTTATAAAATAAATTGTAATTGAAACATAAACTTTAATAAGCTTCAGTCTAACGTCCTTGTATTGTGCAAAAGTTAATATAATGTTAAGGTCAGACGATACGTTCCTCAAATATCTGTTTTGTATACCTTCGAATTATGAGGAAAATATTCAAAATTTTAATTACCTTTTGATTTCTAAACTGGTTTCTAATTGTCTTTAAAGAAATGAAACACCAAAAAATGTGTTATTGGCTAATTAAGTTTTTTCCAAAAGGATTTTATAGGAAAAACATCCTCTGGTATCTTGCACAAATGCTTGGTAAAGTACCTCATTTTTTTGCGAGTAAACATGTTAAAGTAGCAATACTTCAATGACAGAATCTTAGAAAAAATTATATATTATTGAGGAACGTATCGTCTGTCCTGCATCCTGGTAGATTACATTGTCCTTAATCCGATTACCAGGTTTGTTTATTCTTACGGAAAAGTCTTACACTTTCATATCCCGATTGGATTATAGGTCAATGCACTCTATCTTAAGTACATTGTAAATAGTTTAATATGTTGATTTTCTGATTAAAATAATTGTCTCAAACCCTATAGGTTTACACGGTGGCTAGAAATAAATATGAAAAGCTTTAAGCCCAATACCGTCTATTTGAAACGATTTAAATCTTGGTAATGAATATATTATTCAGTATTTCTGAATGCTAAAGTCGATACAACATTTCATTAACTACCGAAATAATTACATAAAACAATTCGTATTTAACCTGTATAAAACATGTAATCGGTATTCCGTATGCCAGTAGACGAAAACCGAAAACGAAAGTACGTTTCTCATATAGGTTTTGTAAGTTCCAGCAATATATATATATACAATTCCCAGAATCGTTTGCTTATTATTGCTGTGCGTTTTCTGTGAAGAAAACAAACATATACAGATTTATTGTTCACTGTTACGCTCCTAATCATGTACGGTAGCGTTGTCAACATTTCATTTCAATGAGCTTTTAAATAGGTGTACGATCCAGTGAACTCGGTCATTTGATACATTTAGTGCCCAGGTTATTGATTCAACCGAAAAATACCACAGGTCTAAACTGTGATTCAGACATTTAACTAAGACGTAAATAATTTACGGGGGGGGGGGGGAGGGGGGGGGGGCTTTTAATTGTAATTATTAATTTTTTTTTTTTAAATGCTTCAATTTTAAAATTATTTTTATGTAGCTTTAACGGTTATAAATTGAGAAGGATAAATTTAATAGCATAAGGACATAATTATACACCTAATATTCATTAATTGAAAACTTTCCTTTTTTTTTCATCTAAATATTTTCTATGACTGAATTTATTGAAAAAAATTTTTTTTTTCTTGTTTAAACATTTCAATGGAAACGGTTTTAAAAGATGCTATTGAAGCAAAATAAACATATTAAAATATCTTGTATCTCCTTTGCTTCGAAGTCGAAATATTAATTACAACACATGGTCATAGTATTGTTTGTTATTTATTCATATCCGTCATGTCAAAAATAATTTATACAGAAACCATAACATAAAAAACCCAGCGTAAGGAAACTGAGAAACGAAAGTATTAGTGTGCTTATGTAGAGAATTCCAAGAAGTCCGAACGCTATTAATAAACACATGCAAGAAAAAAAAAATCCTTGCTTCTTAGTACCCTATATAAGAGAGGAAGTAACCAGTCTGTAGCTTAATATTTTTTTTGTGTTGTATACAGATCTGATATTAGCTCGATAATCTTTCTACTCTTACACTGTTTACAAAATAATGGATCAGTTCAATTTGACAGATCTACAATCCAGTTTGAGAACGTTGCTAGCGCACGGATTGGATGAGGAATCGGTAGAGAAGGTTAAAGAAATGATGTGTCGGTATAAAAGTCAGAGCAAAGACTGGGAAGACAAGGAGACGTGGAGTGATAAAAAGTAAGATCAGAATTTTTTAGTCTTTTGATATTATTTTTTTTTTTTACAAAAAACATTCCTTAAATATAAAAGAAACAAAACATTATATATATATATATTTGGAAAAAGCACTTTTTTTTCATCAATATGATAAAAATCTCAAAATTTTCACTAACACTTATAGTTTAAAATACGCATTTGATGAGTCTAAAACCTAGTCGGAGAACTTATTGAAAAAGTAAATATATCATTAAAACTGCGTTATGTCCATTGTTCTTTTTTATTTTGATTTTTATAATATGATAAAAATCAGAAAAATTTTACTAACACTTATAGTTTAAAATATGCATTTGATGAGTCTAAAACCTAGTCTTAAAAGAATTCGGAGAACTTATTTAAAAAGTAAATATATCATTAAAACTGCGTTATGTCCATTGTTCTTTTTTATTTATATTTTTATAAATGGTTTAGAAATTTAAGTGTATCTTAAAACAATATATAGTATCAAATGTGTATTTCTTATATGCACAACAATTAATTGCATTTATGAATTTTTCTTTCGATCATTTTTAGCTCTACTGGTCAGAGACCAGAAGCTCTTATGCGATAGTAGGGTGTCCGTCGTCCGCCCGTATGTCTGTCTGTTTGTCCGTCCGTCTGTAAACAAGTTTTCAAAACGCTACTCCTCCTACAGTTTTGGTATGATTTCAATATAACGTGGCACACAAGTAGATTACATTAAGTTTCATAGTTTTGTTTATCGGTTTTTGATTTTGATGAACGATGTTGCCATGGTTACTAAAAATCGAATTTTCTGTAACATTCCTTTAAAAGGCTACTCCTCCTACAGTTTTGGTCTGATTGCAATAAATCTTGCCACGAAAAGAGACTAAACCAAGGATCATTATTCTATTTAATGCTGTTTGCAAAGTTTAAAGTCCAAGTGCTACTTTTCTCCTCATTTGTTATGAGAACAAACCAGTAGAGCTACAGTCTTTAAATCCTATGGTAGGGTGTAACTATGTTTTTTAAATAGGTTATTGTTAATTGACCTTTTTTATATATTACAATTGATATTTTGTACAGGTGTAAAGATCCGTATAAGCCTAAATATAATAAATATTTATTTTATTTATCAAAATATCCTGATTGCTTTTTGTCAAATGATTAATATATTGTATAACAAATCGTTACTTTTGTATTATCGCAAAATGAGAAAGACATTCCGGGGGCTTGATTTAACTGTTTTAACAAATTAGAAAAGAAATAAATATATGTATATATTTAAAAATGTGGTGATCAAAATGCCTCGTCTTATGTAATCTTTACTGTGCAGATATACGAGAACTCTACTGGACAAAGGAAATGGACATTATAATCTGATGATACTGTGTTGGAATACCGGCCAGGAAAGCCCTATACATAATCATCCTAACTCTCATTGCTTCATGAAGACTCTGAAGGGAGAAGTGTTCGAGGAGTTGTATAAAAATCCGGATATGACGTCATGTGAAAGCTGTTGTGTATGCAAAATGGAGAAGATAGAAGACAGGGTATACAAACTTAATGATGTGGCTCATATCACTGGTATGTGTATAAATTGTATACATTTGTATTTTTATATTAAAACGTTTAAACGTCGAGGAATATTTTGGCAAAATAGGCAAAAAACTATATTGACGGGCACTTTGTAATCCATACTTATGTACAAAAGAAATTTCATTTAAAGAAATTGAAAGGAATGACAAAGAGACTTATTTTAAACAAAATTTCAGTTCGTTATAGTCGATATTGTCATTGCCGCCATCTTGATTCCCCATTCCTTATTATTGCTTTATTCCTTGGCAGTTCTATACAATTCACCGACGACATTATAAGCAGTATAGTTAAGCTGTTTATTGAGTTTTTTTGGGGGTTTAATTTATACAGCCTTAAATCGCAAATAATGTCATTTTCTTACATTTTGAATTATTGTTATATTGTGTGATGTCAGCATAAACATTTTCCGTGTTGAATAGGTCTTACTTATATGTATGGGCTTATTTTTATTTATAAAATTTTAAAACGATATATCATCTATTAATATAGACGCAGACGGACTTCACCGAGTTGGTAACAAAAGTCACGTGAACGGCGCTGTCACTTTACACCTTTATTCCCCGCCCTTTTCCTCGTGCAGGAAATATGATGACGCCACGGGAAAATCTACAGAGGTTCCGATGGGTTACGATCAGGACTTCAGTGAACAATGCTGTTCACGTTCCTGTTGTTCCAAGTAAACTGATTCTGTAATGTCTACGTGTAATCAAGAGATATCTCTGTATGATTTTAAGTTAAATTATTATTATTAATGTTGATAAAAACATATCTCTATTGTGATACTTTAAATATAAACTGTCTTTATTCTTGTTTAAATGCGTTTGAACAATTTATGACATACTGTATATTTTTACTGCATTTTTAAATACAAATTTTTCTTATTCTGCTAGTTCTGATCTTCCTTGATGTGAAAACCGAATCTCAGAATTTTTTTTTTCTTTTTATCCTATTGTTTATTCATTTCAAAATGTGTGTGTTTTTTTAATATCGCAAGTAACAATAAAAAAAGAATTGTTCTATGTATTTTTGTTTTTTATACGAATTCTTAAAAGCAATAAATAATAATTTCCGAGCAGAGATGTGTTTAAAATAATTGTATCGGATGGTGTTAATGGGAATTATTTATGATTTCCATATGCATCCACTGACTGTTTTCACCTTGGTTTTGTTATGCAACTGGCTACTTTGTATTTTATGGTTTATGTTAATAAAATGAAAATTGTTAATTCATTTATTTTCTTACATACTCCTGCTATATCACAGGAGTGTTTGAAGTCTGTAAAAGTAAGATCATACGTCTGAACAGTAGGACACATTTACAGAACTTAACAGTGTAGCACCTGATTACGACCCCAAAATTTATCTCTGGGTTTAAAATTTTTTATAATGTGGCACATATTTGGAATGATCCCCTATTATCTGTACAATTATTATTTTTAATACAAGATGCATTAACGCACTTGCATTATGCTACATACATACAAACAAATAGATACAATACAAATATAGTTATTACATTATTACATTTATTATTTTTATACAGTAATTAAGGTAATAATACCAGCAATTTCCTTCAATTTTTTTCCTTAGTTTACAAAAATATTGAGTTGACATTATACTACATGTATGACATTGATTGCTACAGTCTCCGCGGCTGGGTAACATGGTGGTGTATTTATATTCATAATAAATGACGGTAATAAAAAAAACAACGATATAAAAACGTGAATCTCTCATACTAGCAGTAGCACATCAAATGGGTTTAGATTTGCCTCCATTAAAATTCTCAACAGAACTTATTTATAAAGAAAAGGTAATGGAGCAATGACTAATGACGTGCATATTAATTATGACTACTACTAGCAAATATCTTTGTTAAAATACAGGTCTTTGCGTAGATACATCTAAGACATAAATATCTTTTTTGGTTCCAAACAAATTCTCTTGTTTTCAAATAAGCTGAATTTAATATGAAAAAGATTCTACAGTCAGGATTTTTACAGCTTGATTAAAGTAGCATCGGCTACAGTGAATAAACATTCCATGTAGAGCGTCACAAACAGAGCGGTAACCATCGTTAATATCGATGTCTAAATATTCCTTATGATCTCCTGCTTGATTACGAAAAAAAAAAACGCGGTTAGGGTTAACATTTTCTCTCTTTGCTCGTGCGATATGTTCAAATTTTTTTTTGTAATCTATGCATTGAAATCCTTAAAAGTAGAGCGATTTTCATCATTTTTATCAGATCATATTTACAACGCACACAATATAGTTATAACAATAAACAAAGTCTACAATTGTAAAACACATCCACTCTCATTGACTCTCCATCTCTTTTTACATCTTCTCAGAGCATGGTCATGCCAATCTCCAACTCCCCAGTTTCTCATACAAATCAACTTAATGTTCACTTTCATTTCTCAGACCATTATCATGCACAATAAACTAAGGACAGCAGAAATGACAAAATAGCAAATTATCAATCCATGCTTGTTCACTCTCTTTCTTGGTAACTTGCTAAAAATGACACTGCTGGGAACTTGTTCTGTAACATATATATTAAAAAAACAAAATGTACTAGATATCCCCAGCGGAAACGGATTCCAAAAATGCCTATAGACTTAAAAGACAGAGAAACATTTCGTTTGGTCATCAATTCCCGAAAGAAATCCAAGAACGCAGAACGAGTCTGTATCCTATATACAAGAAGGCTAGGATCAAAGAAGGAGAAAATGAAGATCAAAGGAGAGCCTCACTAGTAAAGGATAAAATGTATATTGAGGGAAATTATACCTTGATGCTGTTCTTCAGAGTAAATGTTACCTCGGGTGATCCTAAAACAATAGGGACAGAAAAGGTGAAAGGTGATGGTAGAGGTATTAGGATAGTCAAACTGCACTAAGAATCATTGGATAGAATATACACGGAGGATTTGACAAGAAAGAAAAGATACCAATTTGAACAAAAAAAATGTATGTATGACGTAATTTGCTTAACCTATAATTGGAATGGAAAGGATTATAAAAAAGATTATCCGAACTTTAAGGCATTTGTGTTAGGGTGGGGCTTTATTGATCGTATAGTTAAAATGCAAAAAATGTTTAAATAAGAACTTTTTTTTTCTCCTGGGTATCTATGAGGCAAACAGAGTACAGAATTGTTTTATACAGATTTGTGAAATTTCGGACCACTGGGTCAAGTGTTCCGGTGCAGGACATGGCTCTATTGACATATTAGGGAATTATATTTTGTACTGAAAGTTATTCTTCTTAGTTTGTTATTCACCTAATATTTAATTACTGTAAATAATGTAATTGAGTGAAAGAATTTTTTTCATGTATAATACAAAAAGCATTTTAATTTACAGTTTTATACATGTAGACATGTAAATGATAGATAAAATAATGAAACAAAAATACCTTATGTTTGTACATTATATATTTTTTAACGATGAAGGTAGGCTAATGAGTGTTTAGTCTGTTTAATGTGCATAAGTACTAGTAATAAATAGGTTCCTTTATGTACTAGACTTGCTATTTTGTTGATCCCTAATTATCTTATTTCTCCTTCTTTGAGGTAACATATCTTCATCTCTAAGTTAATTTTGTTTTATTTCATAGTTCAGTGGATCCTTTGTACTTTGTGTGTATGGTAAGGCATGTGGGTCTCTTGTTTGCACTTGGAAACTTACAATAAACTCCTCCTAGGTGTTTGAAATGCTAGCTGTGTACCAGTATTGGCTGACATCTTTTGTCCATGACAGTAAATCTTTTCGGTGTTTCTGCTGACCTGCCTGGATGATATAGATACACAGACCACACATAAATATTTCAAAAGAGTAATCAAATATTAAGAATAAAGATTTAATATAAAAAAGAGTATACACATATACGAGAAGCTGTAGACACGCGATGGTCTCCATGGTGCTGTGTACTCTATTAATGTAGTCTTTACTCTGTATCTGTAGACAGTTTGTTGATGTTATACTCACTGTCTACATAAATTAAATAACCTTCATTGTTCACATTGTGTCCTCCAGCTTACCTACCAAAATCTGTCAGATGATTTTTCTTAATCACTGTCACATCTACTTTATATTTGTGTAAAATACTCAGTTATCACTCAGAATTTGTATTACAGCATTGAGAGATTGCTTTTCTGTTATAATTGTCATAAAACGATTGTGACCACAGGATCGAATAGAGGTTTTAGATATTTTTCATACAATCAGTCTTGATTAGTAGAATTCCATTTTATTCTTCCATAGAGACGCAATTCACACAATTCTTTTAATTTGAAAGGATTTTCCAGTTTTGGTACATGAGTTTTAAGTTTTTATTGTAGAACGATTTATTTGAGGATTTATTTCTGAAAAGGAAAAATAATCAAGTTATATTTATTTAACATTGTCCATAAATTTTTCACAATTGGGGTCAATATCAAGGTCTTCCTCCTCGACGTCGGCTAGAAGTCTATGTATCGGCAGACTCTCAACCGATTCCCAATCATGGTCATCCGAGTCAGAATCAGAACTGAAATCGGCGTAAAGTTTGGCATTTCCATGAACTATTGACTTGCCTGATATACACAAGGCTAGGTCAATGGCGTATTTGTCAGAGTGCTGTCCCAGTTATCTAGACAGCAACCCGACTGCGTCGTAGATTCGACTTCTTTCTCTTACGGAGGGAGGAGGGGTAATTCCTTCTTCTTCAAGGAATTTATTAGTTTTTTCAATTATTAACGATATATTTTCAAATTTATTTTGGTAGGGAATACGTTATCTGTCGTGCTTCTAACGAGGCTTCTTCTTCTGTTTTGTTCTTCTTCTTTTTTGAGGAAGGTTTTTAGCTTTTTGAAATTTGACTAGGGGTGGTGAAACGCCATCGCTGAAACTGCTAAATGTCTTGAATCAGAGGTCTTTTTTCTGCAGCATCCAGCTCGTCCACCATTCTCTTCAGGAATCCTATGTGAATGGTAGTAAGATGTAGTAACGTGTGAGATGTTAAGTTCTTTCAAAGTCTCTTTCACAATCCTATTCTCATTTTCTGTTCCATTGTCTGTGACAATTTGTAAGATCGCCCATATCTAGGAAAGATTTCTTCGATTATCAAATGAGCAATCGTCTCAGCTTTTTAATCTGGCATAGCAAATGCCTCTGGCCACCCACTAAACAGATCTACGAACCCCACATGTATTTATTCTCCGATAAGGACCTAGGGTATGGACCAGATAAATCTAATCCAATCTTAGCAAATGGATATTGAGGTATATCTGTTTCTTGAAGTGGTGGTTTCAAATTTTTCAAGGACCTCATTGAACAAGTAACACACTTAGTTACATAGCTGTAGATTTCTTGATACAAATTAGGCCAATAGTATTTCTGTCTGATTGAGTCAAATGTTTTGTCTATTCCCATATGCCCAGTGTCATCATGGTACTGATTAATTACCCCATCCCTAAAATGCTGAGGGACAAATAATCTTACAACTGGGTCGTGGTCTGCATTTGAGAAGAAATACACAATATCATCAATTAGTAGATATTTACTTTGTGTTGCTCTATCAGCTTTACCCTGTAAGATGTTATTTTTAAGCTTTAGAATTTCAGGATCTTTACTTTGTTCTAAGATCATATCTACATTTTTTTTCTTTTGACAACTCAAGGTCACGTTTAAACGGAAAATCTGGTGGTTCAAGTTCACAACTTGCATACCGTTTTGGGTCAAATGAATCTGAATGTAGAAAATTTATTATTTCATACGTTTTATCATTTTCATCTGGATCTTCAAAATCGTCCATTTCTTTTTCATTGATATCAGCGTTTTCAGGTAATCTTGATAGTAGATCCGCGCAAGTGTTTTCTGTTCCGGCAATATATTCAATCTTAAAATTGTATCCTGTTATGCTTAGAGCCCAAAGTTGTATTTTTTTCTGTTTTTCATTGGAGCCTCAAATAGAGACTTTAGCGGTTTGTGATCCGTTCTGATTACAAATTTAGCACTATGTAAATAGTGATCTAATTTCTGTAGAGCATAATATATTGCATATGCTTCTTTTTTAATTGGCGTTTGAGTATCACTTAGCTTGTTTGATAGATAATAAATTGGTTTTTCATTCCTAACACAAGGAATAATTTCATTATCATTATCTGATCTTTGTACTTAACAAGCACCTATTGCTTTATCCGACGCGTCAGTGTACAAAATGTACTCTTCATTTAAATCTTGG